ATCACATCGCGCACATGTGCGCGTTATCTGAGACTGTGCGGGCGTACACCGATAACTGAGATCAAACGATGAGCCTGCGCCTGATTGATTGTGAGAAGAAGAGCGCCAGTCAATGCGTCGTCGACAAATCAGAGAGCAAGCGTCTGCAAAAGACTTCCGTTGAGATTCCCTTGCAATAAAAAAACGTGGCTGTCGTCCACTTTTCTATGTCACCTGGTTCATTCGTCTTGGTCATACGTCTGCATCACTCGACCACGCAACACAGCACAGCAGCAACACACACGCCGAGCACGCACACGCACGCATACAGACACGCAGTACCGCACAAGACCACACGACACACACATCGACCATGAGCAGTTCTGCTTCAGAGTGGGCACTGGTTGCTCAACGTCTCCTTGAACGACCGGCTCCTCACCAGGATCCTGACAACATGCGCATTGGGGTTCACTTGGACAGCACACTTGCTGCACGAGACACGGCGCGCACGTTCTTCAACTTGATGTTCACTTGTCGCGGGCTCTATCACGACCTGCCGTGGGCCATGCCCAAGTGGTGCCTGCCGGACGCCTTCGAGTACGCCCTTCCAGTCGCATACAATTGGCTCGACACATTCCAGCAAGACGTGTACCCGCTGTCTCGCCCAACTGAACCGACCCAAGCCAGAGACGACAGTGCTTTCGACATGACAGCGTGGCTGGAGGAGCGCTGCCTGGCCTATTCTTGGATCGGCGTGACATGGCGCAGCAGTTTGCCCTTTCTTCGTTCTCGACTGGCAGGTCCCCTGTCACAGACCCACGCTTTCTGGGACAAGTTTGCTCGCTGTGGCCGTGTCAATTTCATCAGCCTTTCGGAGTTGGAAGCATGGGCTGCCGCCATATCAACAGCAGCCACGGACAGTGCCTCGACAACATCGCTTCTCACCAGCACACCGACACCATGCACCCAGAACGCTTCTGTCGAAGGTGTCATGCATCAACGTGAACTGCAACAGCCCTCATCCACGCAGGACCAGGACCAGGACCAGGACCAGGACCAGGACCAGGACCAGGACCAGGACCAGGACCAGGACCAGCAACAGCACCAGGACCAGGACCAGGACCAGGACCAGGACCAGGACCAGGACCAGCAACAGCACCAGGACCAGCACCACCACCACCAGCACCACCACCACCAGGACCAGCACCAGGACCAGCACCAGCACCGGCAGCAGCAAGGACAACAGCAACAGCCTCCGCGACGACTGGCACTGTTCCAATTGACCGCAGCCATTCACAGCCAAGCAGAGGCAGACCGACTCCAAGCCCTGCAGTCAACCGTCCTGCACGGGTCTCACGGAGCATGGGTCACCTTGCAGTGTCACACGCATCTCCGTTCCCTGAGTTTGAGCAACATCAGCAAGCTGAACATTAGGGATTCCCCGATTGATCACGTGACGCTGCATGACATCGAGCAGCTGTACTGGGACAAGACCCAGGAACAAAGTACCATCAGGGGTGAATTGCGCAACGTGCAGAGGATGGAGCTCAAATGTCGTCGAAGGATTGCACCAACACACTCATGGATGCACATTCCCAACATCCAGGTGTGCTTCAACGGGGAGGACGTCGATGCTGCATCGCTGGCAACTCGAACACAACTCGCCCTTTATCAGGCTGACTGGGATGACACCTCACCAGTGAGAGTTGACGCCGATGATCTTGATGCTGCCAAGAAAGCAGAGCATGATCGCGTGATCTCCCTGGCGAGCGAGGTTTCGCTGAACCAATTGCCCCTGGAAGTCGACATGCTACGAGCAACAGTGGCCCGGCTTCGAGAAGTCGAAGCGTCAGGGCGGGTTCAGCTGCCGAACGCAATCGAGGTTTACGTGAGTTTTCTTGGGAGTGTGGATCCGATTGATGTTGTTGTGCCCGGGACGGCTGAAGTCTCTCACGGTCTTCGACAACGCGAGTGACGATTTGGTGGCTGGCTTTGAACATGCATCAGTCGCGCACTTCAACGTCGATCTTGATTTATATCTTCATTTGGAGGCATTGACGTCTCTGGAGACACGTGTCGACAGGCTGGAGCTTGCCCACCCCTCATTTCCTGAACGCTTGGGTGCCCTTAGCTATCTCGACTATCTCTCAGATGATATGTGCGTGTGCATCGAAGTGCTGGGGTCTCAAGTGGACATGCGCGTTCCTGCATGTGTGAACGAGCTGATCGTCGATTCATGTGCACATAGGCTGCGGACTGGTTTTGTGGTCAATGTGCCACGCGTGCGGATCGGACGTGAGTTTGGCTCCGAAATGAGTGTGTTGCGCGACGTCCATCTCCTTGCTGGTCGGCAGCGCCTGGAACTCCGGGGCTGCACGCTGGACGGCGAGGTCTTACGCTGCAATGAAGTGGACGTGCGCCGCTGCTTGGGGCGCTTGGCGGTGAGCTCGAGCGAGCGCGTGGATGCCGCCAACGCTATGGTGGGTGAGCCGACCGACAGCAACGGCAGCTCCAGCGAGCCGGGTTGTATCGTGCTGAAGCGCTTGCAAGACGTGACACACTGCAAGCTGGTCCACACAGTCATCAACGACTTCAGCTGTCTCCAACACATTCGGCGCCTTGTGCTCAGCAAGTGCAAGTTCGACGACGTGACACACCTGCCACCCGTCGCCTGCCTTGTGGTGCGCGACTGCTTCACTCGCGCTGGCGGTGCATGGCCCAACGTTACTTTCATCAACCGGCCGCTGGAAGCAATGACAGCCTGCCTCCTCGCAGGGAAGCGTATTCGTTGAATCTGACTGGATGAGACGAGGCTCAGTGTGTTTCAGTGCTGTGCTCGTTGGGTTGATGTTTCGTGGGAGGTGCGGTGAAGGAGAGGTTGGGATTTGGTGCGAGCGGGTCGATGCGTGTGTGCGTGAGTGTGTGAGTGCGTGTGTGCGTGGAAGGGGGATTTGTTGTACATGCTCGAGTGCAGTTGAGCGGAAGAAGATTGTGTATGCATGTGCTATGCATAGAGAGAGAGAGAGAGAGAGAGAGAGAGAGAGAGAGAGAGAGAGAGAGAGAGAGAGAGAGAGAGAGAGAGAGAGAGAGAGAGAGAGAGAGAGAGAGAGAGAGGGAGAGAGGTAGTGTGTGTGTGTGTGTGTGTGTGTGTGTGTGTGTGTGAGTGCGTCGTTCTGTTTGGACAAGAAATCAAAAAAGCGATATGCAACAGTTCATCTTTTCAAGTCCGTCACAGTCATCATCACAATGTCAAGGAAGACAGAGAGAAACGGAACGGTTACATGATACGGGTACAGTGTCCTAGGCATGATCTACGGTGGCATGTCTCGCATTGGTGAAGCAAGGACGCATGCCTGAGAAAAAGGCCACATACACATACGTATCAGCTGCTTGTCAACAATCAAAAGCAGGTGCCGCGAACACAGTCGCCCAACAATCAATCCATGTCAAACAGCAAATCATGTTGGAAGGCGAGCGGGGTTCTTGCGGTGGACGCAGGCTGGTCTTGCGGTTGTTGTTCTGGTGGTGCCGTGGATGGATCAAGACTCGCCGGCGACGCCGATGACACGTCTGCCACGTCTGACACGCCTGCTACTGCAGGTGTACGCGGTGTCTCAACGACGGTTGCACTCGGTGTCTCATGTGCACCGGGCGAATCGGCCTGCTTCATATCCAGGTCGATCTCTTTCGTGTTGTCTCGTTCGTCAATCGGCACCACGCCTGAATTGGTTGTGGCCATACTGCTGTCCTCCTCGTCCCCGCCAGTGTCGCAGCCACTGGTACTTGCACTCGTTACCGCGCGCTCGGCACTGGGCTCCGTCCAGGGGTCAGCCATGGCCTTGATATCCTGCTTTGTCTGCACGAGCAGCCAATCAAATGATGCAGCGACAGCCATGAACGACAGCCATGAACGACAGTTGAGCTGTTTCGACAGGCCAAGCATACAATGAAATCCAAACACACAAAGACGCACACCCGCACACACAAACGTGACAAACTCACGTTTTCCTCGGTGAAGAGGAGACGCTCGCGCAAGGTCTTTTCGTCATGACCGTACCGCACACGCTGCCACGAAATAGCGGGTGTCTGTTGAACAAGCAGTCATCCACAGGCACAAGAGACCGTGAGACAACGCACACAACTGAACAGTTATGGCAGCAATAACGAGGAAGAGGTAAAAGTTCGGGCAGGAGAAGACGGCACAACACAACAACAACAACAACAACAACAACAACAACAACAACAACAACAACAACAACAACAACAACAACAACAACAACAACAACAACAACAACAACTCAAACAACCAGCACTTAAACGACGGGTAAGATACACCGGGTCATCACCTTTGTGAGTTTGATAACGACATTCTCTGGCGAGACGTCACATGCGGGCTGATCCTCCTCGAAACACGAGTCAAACCTGCACCAAAAGCAACAAACAGTTATGTCAGCGCGCACCTGAATATGAACACGCACGAGCTTCAGGTGCCCTGCGCAAGTCAGATGTGAGCATGTCGTCACCTGAAGAGAAGAGGTGGTTGAGAGTCGCGGAGGGTCACGTCCAGGCCGTGGATGTCAATGCCAGTCGCAACCGTTGTCACGTGCTTGCAAGCACTCACATTGCTGCTGTTCAAACCGGCCTCATCAATGATGAGGCTCAGCTTGGTTGGTGTCTGCACAAACGTCACATGTGGTACGTGCTTGTTCACAGTGTTGTCTGCATTGTTTGCGGCGCTGTCGTTGGTGTCGCCGCTCATGCTGTTGTCGATACTGCTCTTGTTGTTGCTGCTGTCATCCTCACAGGCACCATCCACGTTCGCTGTATCTTGGGTTGCCGAGAGGGCAGAGGATGTGCTGTCTGGAGCGGCAGCATCCGCTGCCTTTCCGATGGAACTGTCGTCTCGGCTAACCTCAGTCACCGTGCCAAGCTGCTGCGGTTGCCCTTGCTTGTCATCAATCGTCCCTTTCTTCCCCTCCAGTGCGCGGCTCTGTGTCTCTGCAACACGGCCCAGCATCGGGTGGGGTGCCACCTGCGCGTCGTCGTCTTCGCCACCTCTGGTCGCCGGCAGAACAGGCAGCGTCACCGTCAGAATGCGCTTACTCTTGTCAAACTTGGCAGTGCCGTTCTCCTGCGTGGTGGTGGTGGTGGCGGCGGCGGTGGTGGCGGTGGTGGTGGTGGCGGCGGCGGTAATTGGGGCGCCAGTACGTGCGATTTCGTCATGCGTCAGCGGGTCGCCAATGGAACAAAACATCGTGATAAACCAAAAAGATACGCGGGTAGAAACGCAGACGTTACACACATATATACAGGCAAGTACACACATATACACACGCATACACACAAATACACACGCATGCAGGCAGAGACACACAGAAACACACTCACAAACACAGCCACACACGCGGTCAAGTGTACCTCGTCCACAGGAAATGAGAGCGGAAGTGAGAGGTCGTACGGGCCGTCAGGTGAGGAGAGGGCAAGCAGTCGCTCCTCTACATCAAGATCAACGCTGGCAGCAGACTTGCACTTGGGCAGCTCCACGCTCACGACAATCGCCTGAACGTGCAAAAACCAAATTGGGCAAGGGTGCAAGCAAGGAACAGGGTCAGCAACAAGCGGACATTGTGTCACGTTTCGTTTCGTTACACGTGCAACCGCCACCGCCTCGCAACAACACTCCTAGTTCCGTTGACCCTCCAGCACCACGATCACACGACCTCCACCACCACCTGACTCCACGCCCTCTCGGAGCAGCACCTCAGGACGGGTGGAGGTGCCGGCGTCAGGGGCGTCACGGACATCGCTCATATCAAACGCGCGGCGATACACAACACGGTGCGCGGGTGTCCTGTCATCGGGCTGCTTGGTGGACGAATCGTCCGTGTGCTTGTCTGTCTCCACTGCGGGTTTCTGTTTGGGCTGGTTCTGCTGGTGCTGCTTGGCCTGCTGGTGCTGCTTCTGTATCTGGGACTTGACGGCACCCACCACGTCCTCACCCGCCGCCGCATTCGAACCGCTGGCAGATGTGCGAATCACAGACCGGGACGGCATGCCCTGCACACGATCATGTCGCAGTCGTGGCAGTGGTTGTTGTCGTTGTTGTTGTCGTTGTTGTTGTTGTTGTTGTGGTGGTGGTGGTGATGATGGCGGTGGGACATGGGAAAGCGACGGCGCGTAAACCGAGTGTCACACACATGAAGTGAGACACTAGACAGGCACGCACATACGCACGAGCAACCCTACTTGTTTACGCACCTTGAACTTCATCTTGAGGTGCTTCTTGGTGGAGCGATCGAGCTTGTGGTAGGAGAAGCGCTGCTCAATGCCGTCAAACGCGGTGCCCACCACCATCTGAAGCAAAGCAGGACGTCGTGGTGCTGACATGTGTGAGTGCCAACACTCGTGCACAGGAGTACGAACACAAGGACACGAGCACGCTAGAACGCACGCAGGCGCCCACCGGCCAGCAAAGGAACATGCCACGCGAACAAACAAGTAGAGGAACTCCACAAAACCGCACACACACACAACAAAAAGAAAACACCGCACACACACACACACACAACAAAACAAAAACCCCGCACACACACAGACATCGTACACACACACATAATCACACACTCGCACGCACTGACCTCCTTGAAGCGGGCGTCCATGTTGGCAAGTCGCAATGCCTGTGGATGAAACACGACGTCGTACACGATGCACGTGTTGCCTGCCTTGTCCAGGTCTTCGCGGTGCTTGGTGATGCTGTGTGGTAGGGACCAGCGCACTCCGCGCTTGCTGCCTTCGGTCGCTGTCGTCGACGTCGGCTTGTCAATCACCTCCGACTGCGCATATCCGGGACCATGCAGGTGCGCGCGTGTGTATGTGTATGTGTGAGTGTGTGAGTGTGTGTATGTGCGAATGGGTATGTGGGTGGGTGCGAACGAGAGTGGGTTGGTTCAGGTGCGCGTGTGTGCAATTGAAGGTGCGCGTATTTGTGCGTGATGTTTGAAAGAAAGCACGTTGCGTGTGTATGGTGACAAGCAGTGCATTCATGGTTTCACATTTGTCAGTACCTGGCAAATGTTCATGAAGACTTTGGTGTCAGAGTCCTTGAGCTTGCTCTTGACCACGAACCCGGGCTGCGAACATCAAGCAAGTCGTTTAATGGTCAACCAGAACTTTACACTTGATGTCACCAGCACACACACACACGCACACGCACAAGAGGCATACACACAAACATACATACACACATACATACATACATACATACATACATACATACATACATACATACACATACAAACCTCGGGGTTGATGAACTTGACATCGTTGCCTTGCATGGCCTCCATCTGTCGCAGCTCCTCCTCATATCGCTGTCATTTATAGCAAGGAAGAAGTGAGCTGGAAGGCACACGCACACACACACACACACACGCAAGGACACATACACACACACGCACGCACACACACGCACACACGCACGCACACACACACACACACACACACACACACGGGTCATCACAATCAAAGCAGGGTTTTCCGATGAACACCATCGCCAACACGGCATGATATTGTCAACCTTGCGGTTCTCCGGGTTTGAAATCTCCTCGGCATACTCGGCCAGCAGCTTGCGGAAGTTTTCGTCCTTCATGGCATTGCCAATCGCCTCCAGCTCCTGCAATGGACCACAGGCATGACTGTAAGCGAAATGCAACAAGAATGAATGCAGCTTTTCCTTCGCGGAACGTGACGCTGTGATGTGACGTTGTCTGCCCAGGCACGACCACTCACCTCTGCCGTTGGCACAAACTCCTTGTCATCACTGGTGGTCGCCATCGCTTCGTTGCTATGTGTGTGTGTGTGAGTGAGTGCGTGTGTGTGTGTATGTGCGTGTGTGTGTGTGTGTATGTGTGTGTGTGTGTGCGTGTGCGTGTGTATGTGTGTTGGCAGAGTTGGTCGTCAATGCTTCGCGGCGGTTACGTAAGAAAATTAACACACACACCAACAAATGTTCACAACTTCACTTTGCCTGATGAGGAAGGAAAGCGACTTTGCTTGCTTCTCATCTGTCTTCTTTTGTGCTCAAGCCAACCATCCACGAACGATGATGAACAGTACGAGTAGCGGCGGCGGAACGGATGATGTCTCCTTGCCGATGGAGGGCATGGAAGAAATGGAGGGCGTGCTGTCGGGCAACATTGACATGTCAACCTCAGAGTCACAGGTAATGCAAGCGGTCATGCTTCCAATGGCATGGTGGTCTTGTTGTGCATGAAACCAAAGGAGCTGGTGTTCTTGCGTGCTTGCGCAGCAAGTGCTTGTTGATCCTGTGCTGCCGTGCCATGCGTGCCTTCTGACTGGCCACGCTTTCTATTGCTCTGTGTCACATACACAGGACACGCTGGACGAGCCTGTGTGGGACACGCTGAAGCGAGACTTGGGGCAGATCATCAACAAGTTCACGCATGTGATTGTGCCGAGGAAGGGAAACCGTGAGCTGCTGCGGAATTGGGACCTGTGGGGACCAATGGGCCTCACCATGACACTTGCTCTGCTACTTCGAGAAACCGCAAAGGAAGACCAACGAACAGAGGTGTTTACAGGCACCTTCTTCATCATCTGGTGCGTCTTCTGTTGGATGCAAAGAATGCATTGCGTCTCGCCATATCGTGAGGCAGGACCATGTTAGGCACCATGCAACTGTGCGCCCGTGGGTGTGCGTATGTGCGTGTGTGTATGTGCGTGTGCGTGAGTGTACATATACGTGCACGTGCGTGGTTGCATGTCAACATTCATGCGTGCGTGAATGTGTGAATATGCTGCAAAACTGACTGTATGTCCTGCACATCCATAACCGCACCAGCTTACAAAGGCGCCATGTTCCCTGCTGCTTCGTGTGCTCTCTATCTCCCTCCTCTCCCTGCCTCCCTCTGTCTTTCTCTCATGTGTGCAGTGCTGGGTCGGCGATTGTGACTGTGAACAACCAGCTGTTGGGTGGCACTCTGTCCATTTTCCAGGGCATGTGTGTGCTTGGGTATTGCATGTTCCCGCTTGTTTGTGCATGCATTCTTCTTCGCTTCGTGGGTTATCTCACCACCCACCTCGCCGTTCGCTTCGTTGTTGCTGGCCTCGGCCTCGCGTGGAGTATATACGGTGTGTATTTGTGTGTGTATGTTGTGCGTTGTGCGTTGTATGCTGTGCGTTGTGCGTTGTGCGTTGTGCGTTGTGCGTTGTGCGTGCACGGGTACCTTGCACCATGCACCTTTGATGTGCGCACTTCTTTACCCATTGCAGCCCCACCTCAATTCTTCGTTTCAACCCCCCCCCCCACCATCACCATCACCATCACCAGCGAGTGTTGGCTTCGTTGCTGCCAGCAGTCCCGTTGCTCGCCGCGCCCTTGTTGTGTATCCAATCGTGCTCTACTACGTCTTCATCGCGTGGCTCATCCTCAACGACGTGGGCGGTGCGCCATCTGCATCCCCGCCATCGCCGACCACCGCAACACCTCAACCACCACCAGCAACCACGACACAAGCGCCCGCGTGACCCCTTTGCAGCACTCAGGCTTAGGATTGAACTGAACGCGCGTGTGTGAACGTGTGAACGTGTGTGTTGTTGTTGTTGTTGTTGTTGTTGTTGTTGTTGTTGTTGTTGTTGTTGTTGTTGTTGTTGTTGTTGTTGTTGTTGTTGTTGTTGTTGTTGTTGTTGTTGTTGTTGTTGTTGTTGTTGTTGTTGTTGTTGTTGTTGTGCATAAAGTTACGGGTGCGCGCGTATGTGCATGCGTGCATGTGCATCGCACACATTGTTGAATGAAACAAGAAGGGCGGTTTCCTGTTACCACAAACCGCGTCTTGTCCTTGCAATGAACATGTATTTGCCACACATTGGCAACTGTCGAAACGACATCTCAGTACACAAACAACTGAAGTCAACAGAAACACAATGACATAAAAGTGGGAAGCAGGAAGCAAGCAATGCAGACCAGGCACGCGTAATGTAACAAATCAGAATCAAGGCATCCAGCAATCAAACGTGCGTGCGCGTCTGAAACTCAAAAGTTGCCAACGTTGTTTGCACGTTGTCGTCAGCGTCAACGGCAAAAAGAATGAGACGCAAAAGGTGAAGAATGAAAGGAGAGGGAAGCAAGAAAGCAGAGAGGAAGCTAGCAATTTACCGCACATGGAATAGTTGTCAACAGGCCACAAAACAGTGTAACGAGCAACAAAGTTGGGGTGCGCATCATGTCACATGTGCACACGCGCGACCAGCCCCACTGTCACTGTCACGGACGACGACAATGCAGTGAATTCATTCATGACACTCATCTCAGTCCCATTCATCATCCGAAGCATCTGCAGTTGTTGGAGCAGCACGTACAAGAAGCGGAAACGGGGTGAGTGGCGAGAGATTGAGCGGAGATCATCACGCACGCACACACGCACGCACGCACGCACGCACGCACGCACGCACGCACACACACACGCACACACACACACAAAACCACCAAATACACACAACACACAAAACAACAACACACACAACACACACACACATACACACAAAACAACAACAACACACAAAACAACAACAACAAAACACACACACACACACTGACACGCTACACGACCGCCACAGCCCAAAGCCAAAGCAAGCATGCGTCCCCCACCTGACTCATCGGAGATGACCTGGCGCCGGGCGTCCATCGCAGATGCGAGCATATCCATCAGCGTGTTCTTCGGGCTCGCACACAGCGCGGGCCGCGGCTTCGTCTTCACCTTGCGCAATGTCGCCTTTCCGCGCCCAAGACCACCAAGTGACGCCAGCAGCGCTGTGCGCGGATCGAGTTGCACACCACGGACAGGCGCCGCACCATCACCATCACCATCGCCGTCGCTCTCACCGTCACCGCTCTCGCCACCGCTGTCGCTGGCGTCCACCTTCTTCAGCCCAGTCTTGTCGAACTTGCGGAGTGCGCTCAGCAGCGAATCACGCGGATCTGCCGCCGCCGCCTTGTGGTGGGCGTTGACCTCCACTTTCCTCAGGCTGTCGCGTGCACTGGCGTTCTGAATGGCCTTGAGCAGGTTGGAGCGCGGATCCTGTGGCCGTTCGATAGGCTCCGCCTTGCGCAGCGCCGCCTTATCCGCTTTTCTGATGGCGGCAAGCAGTGCGTCGCGTGGCTCCTCCTCCTTTGGCGGTGGTGGTGGCGGCGGCGCCAACAGCGCGTTCTTCTTCGCGTTGCGAATGGCAGACAGCAGGTCATCGCGTGCGTCGTGCTTGCGGTTGGCGTTCACTTCGCTCGCGTCCACCTTGTGCAGCCGCGCAAGCGGATCGCTGCTCTGCAGAGCACTCAACAGCTGCTGCTGCTCGCTCGTTGGCGTGGGCAACGCTGGCGCCTCCGGCACAGGTGGCGGCGGCGGTGGTGGTGGTGGTGCACCACGACCAGCAGAACGGCCATCACGATCGCCGTCATCGTCATCATCGCCAACAGCATGGTCTTGGCTCTTCCCCGCCACGCGCGTTGGCGATTGTGGCTCAATTGGGAGACTCGTGAGTGACCCCTGATACGCACGCACGGGCCCGCTTCCAAGTGACGGTGGCGGTGGTGGCAGGTCATCTGAGTCATTCAGGCTGCTTGCTGTCCGGCTGCCTCTGTTGCTCGCCACGTCCACAGCAGCACCACCCATCGTTGCCGTTGCTGGTGTTGCCGCTGGCGATGATGACGATGCGAGTTGTGCTGATGGCGTGTCCTCCTGGAGAAGAAGGTCAACGGGCGGTGGCGGCAGCGCGGTTGCAACATCTTCACTCACCACCGCCGTCGATGCGCCTGTTACGCCAGCAACATCTGCTGTGGTTGCTGGCGTTGGGATAGAAGTGGACACCATTTCCTCTGGTGGTGGGGGAAGGTTTGCCTCCATCTCAGGCGGCGGCGGCGGCAGCACATCAACGTCAACACCAACATCAACACCAGCATCAACGCCAGGCGATGGTGTGGTGTGGTCTGCTTCCTCTTGCTCCTCTCCTGCTTCCAGTGTTGGTGGAAGTGGTGGTGGCGGCAAATCAAACACGCTGTCCCGCTGCTGCTGCTGCTGCTGCTGCTGCTGCTGCTGCTGTTGCTGCTCCTCGCTCTCCTCAGCGAGACTCGGCAGGATGCCAGCCTGTGCGCTCGCCTTTTGTGCGGCCTTCATGCCCTTCTTCGTCCTGGGCGCGGGCTTGGCGGACACACCCGGTGGTGGTGGCGGCGGCAGTGCGTCGTCCTCAGCCGACGACCAGGTGCGCTGCTGGCGATGATGCGCATCACCCAGGCTCTCCGAGCTCGACTGGTGCTGCTGGTGAATGGAGGAGATGGAGGCCTGGCTGAAGCGTTTCGGTGCGACCGGTGGCGGCACTGCCAGCTTCTTCCCACTCGAGCGCGAAGACACCGACGCGTTCCGCGTTGACGCTGCGGTTGATGTGGAGATGGAGGATGAGGATGAGGGCTCTGCTGTTGGTGGTGGCGGCGGTGGCGGCAGCACGGCACTCTCCTCGCTGCTGGGATCGCTGTCGTCACTGCGCTCACCATCAGCGCCGTGCGGGAGAATGGTCAGGTAGTCGCTGTCCGTGGACACACGCGAGTCTCTGCGCTCCTGTGCGTTGCTGCTGCTGCTGATGTTGGCCTGTGCGCACGCGCTTGCATCAGATGCGCTCCACTCATCGTCGCCACCATCAAACACGGAGGGAATGCCCTCCTGTGCAGCAAGTGCGCCCAGCATAACGGCGTGGTACGGCAGTTCCATCTGCGACGGCGCCTTGTGTGGCGCCAGCATGGATGGATCCAGGTCATCCTCATCAAAGAAGTCCTTTCCAAACTCCTCCATCTCGTGAGTGGAAGGCGCGGTTGCTGGTGCCGGTGCTGTTGTCGTGTCGATTGCTTCGCTGCTGTACTGCTGTGGCGGCGGGATTGGCGGCGGCGGCAGCACGCCAAACTCGTCATCGTGCATGTGAGCATGGGCGCGACCAACGTCAGCACTGCGGTCAGGGGTGGATGCCGTGGATGTGCCTGAGAGCACGGGTGCAGGCGGGCAGGTGGGCGGAAGAGGCAATTCTTCGTTGGGCAGCGTGTCCACATCAATACTGGTGTTGCTGAATGCAGAGCCGGCGCGAACTAGCACCTGAATGTGTGGAGCAAGTGGCAAGTGGGAGAAATGGTGTATGTGTGTGCGTGTGTGTGTGTGAGAAAACACGACCATACACTTGAGTGAGATCGACGGAGAGAAAGAGCGACTGGTCCAATACTCATGGCGAGCAGTAATTCGAGGCACAAGAGGAATGATGCTTCCTGGAGCACGAAAAGAACACATTGGCAAACACACAACAAACACAGGGCAAACATGCACACACAAGGCAAGCATGCACACACAAGGCAATCATGCAAACATGTTCAAACTCACACACAACAATACACATGAGCAGGCCAACCAGACCTTCTTTGTCTGCGATGATGTCGTCTTCGGCGATGTCGGTGGTGGTGGGCGTGGCGGTGGTGCTCGCGCATCTGCAAGCTTGAATCTGCTCGCCAGCTGCTGTCTCAATTCATCCACGGGGCTGGTTGGCACGGCGCCTGGCGCAGATACTGCCTGCTTGCTCTGTTGTCGCTGCTTTGGGGGTTCAGGTCGAGGTGGTGGCGGGCGCGATTGTGGTGTGGACGGCGCAGTCGTGGCGGCGGGCTGCGGCGGTGCCTCCACGTGCGGCCTTCGTCGCAGTGGCGACGTTGGCCTTGATGGTGGTGCAGATGTGCGAGGGCTCGTGGGCCCACTCGCACTGCCCTCTTTCGAAGACACCACGGCCGCCGCTGCTGCTGCCGCTGCTGCTGTTGCGATGGATGGGATGGACGCGGGCGATTTGCGTGGCGAGGACGGTCGGGACGGGGGCCGGGACATGGGGGAATTGCGACGCGACGCACTGCGCGATGCTGCTCCTGAGGACGGAGTGCCCTCGCTGTGATGTGCTTGCACGCCGACGTTGTTGGAGGAGCCCGCGCGTCGCACCATGGGTGGTGACGGCGCCAGCTTGGCGTGTTGCACCGCGGACGCAACACCACCCATCCCATTGCTGTCGTTGGAGGCTGCACTTGATCGGCCAACTCGCCCCACTAGCTGTTGCTGTTGCTGTTGCTGTTGTGAGGCGCGTGCACTGCTGCCTGTGCTGGCGGCAGTGCACGCTGCGTCCATACCGATGCCCATGCTGCCTGTGCTTGAGCGGCTCGTGCGCCGGCCTTGCGGTGACGATGATGACGGCGGTGGCGCTGGCGCTTTTCTCCGGCGCCGCTCAAGTCCTTCCTCAAGGAGAACCGGTCCGGAAATGTCTGCGCGCTTGATGTTTCCGTCCACGTCAAACTTGACAGGTGTGCGTGATGGGCGGCGGCCCCGCACGGTGCCAGCCCGGCGCATGTTGCGGGCAGGCTGGAACGCGGCCTGGAGCTCCGTCATGGACCAGGTGAGCATCTTGGCGGGCCCGCCGTTGTGATCAACAATGTCCATGATGCATTGGCGCTGCTGTGCGTCGCGCAGCATGTGCTCCACGCGCGCCTTTGTGAAGAGGGCGGTCCATCCGTCCGGCATGCGCGGGTCTGCAATCGAAACGCCCTCAGCCAACAGTGACGTCACCCGCTGCATTTCAGCACGCGACACGGTGTCTACGCCGAGATTGCGTGATGTGCTCTGCAGCGTTGGCGCCGAGATCTCAATCTTGCGCCGAGCTGGCGTCGTTGTTCCTGCTCCGGCCGCTGCTGCTGCTGCTGTCGTTGCTGTTGTTGTTGTCGCTGTTGCTACTGCGGCGGGGCTGGCGGGCATGCTTGATGGCGGCGTGTGCTGCAGCGTTGACATGAGCGACGTGTTGGACACGGACGAGGTTGTGCTCGTGCGCCGATCGCGAGGAGACCCGCCTGCAGCGGAGACAGCGAGCAGGAGGAGGAGGAGGAGAACAGGAGGAGGAGGAGGAAGAGGAGGAGGAGGAGGAGGGGGAACGTGATTACGTTTGATGGAGGTGATGTATGGGTGAGTCGATGAGCGTGAGTGGGTGCATGGGCATGAGTGGCGTGAGAGGTAACGGGAAGGAGGGACACCGTGGGGTATACATACTAGCGTCATTGTTCATGCAACAGGAACACGTATGAACCTCAATGACGCACCTCGCTTTGTGCCCTTGCTGTGCTTTTTCATCACGACGTGGATCTTCGTCTTCTTCACCTGAGCAACGGTGCCTGCAACATCGTGTGTACGTGGGTATCCGTGTTAGTGGGGGGATTGGTGGTGACGAATAGCTGTGTAAGGAATGAAGCTTCGCAAACACACACACACAGAGACACAGAGACACAGAGACACACACACAGAGACACACAGAGACACACACAGACACACAGAGACACACAGAGACACAGACACACACACAGACACACACAGACACACACACACCTTTCATGCTGAGTGGACGGCGGCCGCTTGCGTTCTCTGCGAGGATGATGGATCCAACATCCAGCCCACGCTTGTCTGCGATGTAGAAGAGGAGTTCACCCATGCTCATCTGCGCAGGAACTTTCACCATCGTCTGACCCTTGTCTGGCAATTGCACCTGCGATGGTAGGAGGAGCGTGCGTGAGTGAGTGGGTACGTGCATGCGACCGTGGGCAATTGTGCAAAAATGAGGCGAGGGGTGGACGCAAAGCGTACACACTCTGTAATTTTGCACGACATAACACCTGCACACACATACGCATGCATGCACATACACATACACATATACACATGCACACACCTACACATACACAAACACACACCTCGAAGAAGACGTCGCTGGACGATTTTGCCGGGGAATGTCCGGATGCGGCGTGGGCGGACAAGAGATGCATTGCTGCTGCCTTGTCCTTCTTTGTGCTGTACACACGTGTTCGCAAGTGTAACAAGGTACATGCACGCATGTCCATGAGGATGAACAAGCATAAAACTGCATCGCGAACAGCAACTGCATTGTGAACGGTGACATGCATCTCGCTTGCAAAACACACACACACACACACACACACACGCACACACGCACACACACACACGCACACACACACACACACGCACACACGCACACACACACACACACATACATACGCACACACACACACACGCACACACACACACGCACACACACACACCTGACGATTTGTGTGAGGTCGACCATTTCAATCTCCTTGACCTTCAGGTCTCCAACCTGCACGCGCTCAAGCTCAGCAGCAGGGATGAACTCAGAACTCTGTACGGCGGGTGGGGTGGATAGTATGGGGTTGCAAGGTGAAGAGGGGAGTGTAGGAGAAGAATGGGGAAGTGAGTGACACAACAAGACTGAGCAGCGCCGCCAAGACCATGTCACCACACACACACACACACACACACACACACACACACACACACACACACACACACACACACACACACACACACACACACACACACACACACACACACACACACACACACACACACAGAGCAAGAACACGAGCAACGTGTCCCGCTTCCACCATCTCGCGTCACATGTCCACAGGAAATGTTGTTGTCTCACCGAAGCGAGCTTGAGACCCATGGTCTTTGAGTCGAGTTTGCGCTTGTCGCAAATTGAGACAAGGAGCTCCTGCAAGGTTTGGGATGGTTCAGCGAGGGTCATAGTGGTCTGCTTTGAGGGCAGGTTCACCCGGACCATGACCTTGCCCTGGTTCTTGGGCTTTGCAGACTTGTCCACTAGGATTTGGAACGCTTGTGTCTTCTGTCCGGTTCTGTTGAGATGCAGGAGGCGGTGACGGGTCTCGGCGTCTCGAAGTCGCTCCTCCTGCCGCTGTTTTGCCGTCCTGATGCCCTCCTGCATCTGCTCTTGCAGCTGTGGATGCAGCCACATGTGTGAGTGTGTGAGTGTGAGTGTGTGAGTGTGTGAGTGTGTGAGTGTGAGTGTGTGAGTGTGTGAGTGTGTGTGTGTGAGTGCGAGTGTGCGAGTGTGTGTGTGTGTGTAAGTGTAAGTGTAAGAGAGTGTGAGTGTGTGCGAGTGTGTGTGTGTGTGTGTGCGTGTGTGGGCGTGTGAGGGAGGGAGGAAGTGCGCGCGCGCGTGAGCGTGAGCATGAACTGTTGCCTTGCCTTGCAGCGCAGAAAGTTGGACAACAAGGATTGCTACGTAATGCAAGTGCACGTGTTTGTGTTTGTGTGTGTGTTGCTTGGCGAACCTTTGTGAGCTGCTGTGAGGAGGCAAGTTGTGCGCCGTAGCTGAGACATGAGCCCTTGGCGTGCCATTGCAAGAACGTGTCCTTGGTGCGCTTGATCTTCGTCTCTGCCGTGATCTTCAAGTTGAGCTGTTGCAGGAGGTGGGAAGTGCAAAGGCGATGAGAGGCGTGTGCGTGCATGTGCGTGTTGATGTGTGCGTGTGTGTGTGTGTGGGGGGGGGGGGAGAAAGTCAGAAGGACACACAAATTGAGAGCTGACATGCGCGTAGCAACTGAAACATTATCCAATAAAACCAGGGACTTCCACACGAACACAAAGACACACACACGCACAGACAAACATATACACAAAGACACACACACAGACACACAGACACACACAGACACACAGACACACACACCAGTTGTGGTCTCACCTCACGGCCGGATTTGCCGGACGAGACGAGGCGGTATGGGCTCTCGGTTGATTCCGGGGTCACCCTCAATTCCAGCGTGATGTATCCGTCAGTCAGCTCACGCCAGCCTTCAGGGTCACCTTGCATGCTGCACACGAACAGAGCAGAGCAAAAGCAATGCAGAGAGTGGGAGTGGGAGTGGGAGTTTGTGAGTAGATGGAAGAGGAGGGCGTGTGTTCATGTGTGAGAGTTTGTGAGTGTGATCACTTGTGACGTGTGTGCGTGTGATCACTTGTGACGTGTGTGTGTGTGATCGCTTGTGACCTGTGTGCGTGTGAGCTAGCACCGCTTTCGCCTTGCTGATCTCACCTCCGCAACACACACACACACACACACACACACACACACACACACCGGGTACGCACCAGCTGTAGACGGCGCAGATGTATCGGCCGCATATCTCTGGTGGACCTGCGGTGTTGTGCTCAACGCCGAAGTTGCTTCCGATGGAAGCGGCGATGCTCATGTCTGCTGCGTTTCTTTGCTTTCGTTCTTGCTTGCTTCTCGGCGTTTGTCTTGAACACCAGCTCAATGGACTCACCTCACCAACAAGACCAGCTCACCAGCTGCTGTCACTCACGCAGTCAGTCAGCCCAGCCCGTCTTCGTCTTCGTCTTCGTCTTCCTTGTCCCTCCTTATCTCAACAACTCGGCAACACGGCAGGTAGGGTGCTCTGGCTGCTCCCTGCTTGCATCCACTCACTCCTCTTTGCTTGCTGCCTGCTGTCGATAAGTTCTCTCGCTGCTGTCGTGGCGATGTGATGATTGTGACAACCAAACCCACCAACAAGCAGCCGACCGCAACAAGCAAACACCACCCCTCACTCAACAAGCACGCATTGTTGTGTGGCAGGCTGCTGTGGCACACAGGCACCCCCACCCCAAAACAGACCAACAAAACCGCGCACTGGAATGCCATGTCCTGCTGTTCGCGGCACCGTTTCAAATTGCTTCGCAGGCCTCCCGTCCATTTCCCGTTCGTCAGGCCAATCGAACGAAAAGTGCTGACTCAGCAACAGACATCAAAACGGTGTGAGGAAGGACGAGCAAGCGAACAAGCAAAATACAGGTCACGCATGGTTATAGTGCCGTCGGGTGAAGTGGCAAACGAGCTAAAGTGACCCTAACTTCAGGAAACAGTCACTTACATGTTTATAGTGATGATTTTGGACTCGAGTAGTGACCGGTGCTCTCTCTGTGTGTGTGTGTGTGTGGAATCGTGTGTGTGTGTGTGTGTGTGTGTGTGTGTGTGTGTGTGTGTGTGTGTGTGTGTGTGTGTGTGTGTGTGTACACACGGCCAGGAAGACGGTTTACTGTGCAGACCCATCGACAGAAGGGTCAACAGTGAGAAACCCATGAAGAGTAAGCTGTGTTTGAGGCATCACAATAAAGTCAAGGGCCGAACGAAGGGAAACCAAAGAGTCACGATAGTTGGCGAGCTTGTGCGGGTGGAATGTAATGAAGCGGCGAAGTAGAGTGGCCGCCTCTCTTGCTTGCTTAAGCGTTGGTGGGGGTGCGTTCACTTTCGGGACTGCCGGGCGCTGTGACGATGATGGCACGTCGTCAAGACAAATCACATCACCCTCCCCATCGTCCCCTTCGTCGTTGTCGTCGATTCCACCCACACCACCCATACCACTGTTGTGGTCCCCGTCATCACCCACATCACACGTGCCGACATGCCCAGCCTCCCGTCCGTCAGAACCCTCAAGGTGATCAGCCATGGCTTGCAGATCACCAAGCTCATATGGTACCTCGGTAACATTTTCCACCGGTAAGCTCAGCAAAGCCTCGGCAGTTGGGGTCTCCTTGCCGAAGCGCGAGTCAAAAGCGAGCGGTTTTAGCAGTGCGTTCAGCTCGTCGATGTGGTCGTCTCCAGGGAGAATGTCGGCGTGATCCCAGCAATGGCGGATGGTGTCAACACTGACGTCCTTCCAAGCATTCTGGCACCAGTCAAACGCAACGTCGAGGGGCACATGCAGCCGTGCAGCCGTGGCGGTGGTGTCCTCGAGCTCCTTTGACAGCCAGGTAAGGTGACGCACTCGGTATTTCGCTTTGAAGGAGCGAATGATGCCAGCATCCAAGGGCTGCACATGGGACGTCGTGTTGGGCGGAAGGAAGACCACGTTCACCGTTCCGATACTGACACCCTTCAAGCCAAACCATGTGCCTGGTGTGCCATCGTCAATGCTGTGGGAGCGAGCATTGTCAACGATCAGCCACACAGGCCGCTGGACATGGTGGGTGAAGTCTTTGAGGAAGTTGTTGAAGATTGTGGAGGTCATCCAAGCGCTGCTGTTGTAGTCGTAGTGAACACCGGAATCACGCAATGGCCGCCAGCCTTTTGGAAAACAGCGAGGGCGCGCTGCCTTGCCAATCACGTACAACGGTAGCTTGTCAGTACCAGAAGCATTGCAGCACAGAGCAACGGTCAGTCGCTGCTTGTTCGTGACCGCTCCCGCACGTTGGTGAGATGCAAGAGTGCGGGTTGGGAGCTGTCTGTAATACAGAGCTGTCTCGTCCAAGTTGTACAGGTCATCACGGGAAACGTGCTCGAGGAGTCTGGGCAGCGCCTCACGTGCAAGCGCAACGCCATCCATGTCCGCGCTTGCCGCCTCTCCGTATAGCTTGCGCTTACAAATGCCATGACGATGTTTGAATCGAAGCAGCCATGAGTGGCTGAAGTTGAAATGGTCTGGTAGAGATATGTGCTGCCCAATGGCATGCGCTTTTGCCAGCAGTGTTTCGTCTGTCAGCGGGAAGTTTTGAGCCTGCTTCTGCTCAACCCAGGCGGCCAAAGCTGCTTCGAGACCTGCAACTGGGCTCGGTCGAAGCTTGGCACGCTTTGCTGTGTAAGGATCACTTGCTGCTTCCTCCCAGCGTTTTGGATCCTTGAGGATGTTTGTGATGCATGCTGGCGACGGACGCTTGCCAAACTTTGCACTGCAGAACTCGATGAGTTGCTCTCGAGTCAGCGATGCATCTCTGCCCTTCTCATGCACCACTGCTGCCTTCTCCGCTGTGGTCAGAGCCACTCGTTTCTTGGCGGTGGACATGGCGCCAGTGTTTGCAATTTGCACATTGCAATTGGCAACCGTCATTGGGCTAAAGTGACTTCCGGACACAAAGATTTTATAGTGACCCCAAATTCAGGGAACCAAATAGTCACTATATCCATGCGTGACCTGTAAAAGATGGATGCTGGTGGTGTGCTGATGAGGATGACGACGGTGCTGGCGCTGATGGCGGCGCTGATGATGATGGCGATAGTGACGACGACGACGATGATGACGGAGGCTGCGCCGACGTGTGGGTTTGAGCAGCTGGCAGAGCGCGGTGGCCGAACACGGCGGGATATTGTGAGCGGGCTGACGCCCACGGTGGATAGCCGCTTCGCGTTTCCCTCGGACGACAGCTCCGCCGATGTTGCACCCAGCAAATGCACGGTCAAGGACGATGTGGCCAGCATCTTCGGCATTGGCTATTCGGAGTGCTACAGCCCAGAGGTCACCGCACACTACTCAAACCTCGAGTCATGGCCAGACACCACTCTCAAAGTCAAGTTCAAGACCATCACAAACGGTATAGAATATGAAGCAGAAGGAGTGTCCTGGGTTGTCTTGTTTAGATTTCCTTCCATGTGTGCATGCGCGCGTGTGAGTGAGTGAGTGAGTGTGTGTGTGTGTGAGTGAGTGAGTGAGTGAGTGTATGTGTGTGAGTGAGTGAGTGAGTGAGTGTGTGTGTGTGTGCTGGACCTTGACCTTCTTGGCTCACGCGTTCCGCTGGTCCTGCCATGGGTTGAGTTGATGTCATGTTCCTGGTGAAGGTAATGCTCATGGTTAACCTTGTCCACCAACACATGGTGGTGTTGTTTGTGGGGCATGCTGCCACCTCACCCACACGTCCCCTCCATTCACGGGCCTAACTAACTTGCTGGCTGTGATTGCCTCAGACACCGGGACCGGGTTTGTGACACAGGACGACTTTGAGCACGCCCTTGGCCTGCTCAACTCATCGTACGCCAACGCAGGCATCTCCTTCACTGGCGACGCAGACTTTGTGGTGCGTTTGCGCGTGGGCCGGCGATGCTGGCACAGACGCACATCTGCCGTTCATGATGATGATGGTGATGCATTCATGTCTTTTGACGTTTCAATGTATCATACGCAGAACTCACTCTCTCGCTCTCACATGCACCCCCCCCCCCACACACACGTGCGCGCGCGCGCTCTCTCTCTCTCTCTCTTTCTTATGCACTGTATCAGGCGAGCCAAACCATCTTTGATTCCATGGTGAACACGGCGGGGTACACGTCCTCCAACCTGTTCGGTGTGCTGGATCCGTTGTCGCAAGTGCTGGGCATCGACCAAGACCTTGAAACGCGCGATGTACACTGTAAGTTGATGGGCACCCACTCTGCTCACAGCCCCAGCACACGCATTGCATGTCCCCGCTTTCGTTTCAGAGCAGCACACCACCCGATGTAGTCACCTTTGCCAGCCACACGCACTCACCTCCCCTCCAACGCCACTGCATGCCTGTCACTGTCCGTCAGCGTACATTGTCGTCCTCAAACTTGACATGTCGGAGATTGTCGGCGTCTGGTACGCGTTGTGTGTGTGCGTATGGTGAAGTGTGCGTGTCAGTGTGCATGCGTGTGTCAGTGTGCTTGCCTGAATTGTATGCATGTGCATCTGTGTATGCATTGCAGCTATGCATGCTCATTCTAAATGCGGCTTGTGCCTTCACTCACTCCCGCGTTATCACCCCTACATCATGACCACCATCACCACCATGTTGTGACCGCGCAGTGTGCCTGAGACGGGCATGCTTTCTGCCCGCGCGCAAGTGTTGAAGGATGCGAGTGGCGTCCCCGATTGGTGGGGAAATATCTGCTTCCTCGACTACAGGTGTGGCCACATGCTCAGCGCTGGTGTGTTGTGACAAATAGACAGCGTACAAGTGATGTCGGGTGGCTTTGGCGGTTGTTTCTACACTCAACCTGCACTCCCTCAACACACGCACACGCACACGCACACACACACACACACACACACACACACACACACACACACACACGCACGCACACGCACACACACACACACACACTCCAACAGGTGGTTCAGCGTCCGCGGCATCAATGCGCTTGCCGATGCGCGCTCCAACGGGCTATACACAATCCACGAGATGGGCCACTCGCTCGGCCTCCTCCACACGTTCCAGGCCGCTGCGTACAAGTTTGCCAACGGCGCGTGTGTTGCCCCAGATTACGTCGGCTCTTCATGCTTCGCGGAGGATGTACGCCGCACAGTTTATGCTTTGATGGGCCGTGCTTGTGCGCACATGTGTGCGTATGTGCGTATGTTCGTGTGCGTGTGCGTATGTGCGTGTGCGTGTGCGTGTGCGGGTGTGTGTGTGTGTGTGTGTGTGTGTGTGTGTGTGTGTGTGTGTGTGTGCATGTGCGTGTTTCCACGCGTGCAGCTGTCACATTCCCAATCACCCAGTGCTTACCTTCAACCTTAACCACCACCACGAACACCACCACCGCCACCAACACGATCAGGACTCGTTTGAGAACGGCGATTACATTGCGGACACGGCGGTGATGGTGTCAAGCACGGTAGCCTCTCCGGGTGGCAGCATCTTCGACAACGCCACATGCATGGCCGGTCCCCGCTACCCGGGACACTGCAACGGCAACCCGTTTGCGTGAGTGTTTATGAATGTCTGTCTGTGTGTGTGTGTGTGTGTGTGTGTGTGTGTGTGTGTGTGTGTGTGTGTGTGTGTGTGTGTGTGTGTGTGTGTGTGTGTGTGTGTGTGTGTGTGTGTTTACACGTGTGGTGTGATGCTGTCGTGCGTGAACTTGGATGAGTGAGGCCACAGCTTTTGTTATTGCGTCTTGTTCTTCTTCCTCCTTTTCCGTTGGGGCCCCTTTGCTTCGTGTTGCTCCTTCTCGGGCGTTTGTTCCCCCGTTTTGCCACTCGCCCCCCTCCCTCTCTTCCTTCACTGAAGCTGTTGGCACGCGAGCACCATTGATTGAGTTTGGTATTGGAGTAAACGCGATGTGAGACACCAGTCGTTTACGGATGGGCGGGCACAAAGCGCCCAACGAACAGCAACCAGTAGCAACAGCAACAAGAACACCAGATCAACAAACGACGGCAACAATAACCACGACGACGACGATGATGATAATGGTCAGAGACAAGGGGGAAAGACAGAAAGACAGGACAGGACAGGGACGCACAGACATGCACATGCACGCTTACATGCACACGCATGTGCAGAATGGGCTACAACACTACATACCACAACGCACACATACACACACACACACATTTGAAGAGCAGCACGAAGGCAACACAAACCCGCAGACTTGCAAGTGTTGCCTGTGTAGCCGGCTTGGAGTGCGCACACTGTCGGCGTCATCATCACTACTACCACCACACAATCATCACACCCACCACAACCATAACCCATCTTAACACACGACGCTCTTGTGACGGGCATGCACACATCAGTTCTTGCGCGGGATGGCGAGTGCGAGCTGTGTTGGAAGACGGCCCACATTGCCCGAGTAGTGGGTGATGAGGTCTGGCAGGTACGGAAAGCGCGGACCCTGGTCAAGCCCAAACGACACGCGCCCGCCACTACCCTGCACCTGCATCGCGTGGTGGACGAGAAGCAAGGGGAGGCAGGCAAAGGAAGGACGTGGGGCGAGGTTGTTGTGATGAGACAATTGTGGTGAAAGGGAAGCATCGGTGAGGGTGGGGGCCGCGTTTGAAGTGGATACGTGTGACGCGGAAACGAGAGAAGCGACACAGGACAAGTGGAATATGCTGCACTGACACGTCAACAACATTAACATAACAGTGCCACACAGCAGCAGCAGCAGCCTCGCTCTTTCTTCCCACCTTCTTGACTTTGTAGTGATGCGGCTTGGACTCGAAGCAGAGCGAAATGACGTAATCGCCAGGATGGCTCGTCGATTCGCGAACAAGATACGCCCCTTGCCTGCAGGCACAATGGCGACCCAGTGAAAGGAGCAATGAGTGGGTAAGGGGGCGAACGCTCGCGCGCGTGTGTATGTAGGTATGTGTATGTATGTATGTGTATGTATGTGTATGTATGTGTATGTATGTGTATGTATGTGTATGTATGTGTATGTATGTATGTGCGTGCGTGCGTGCGTGCGTGTGTATGTGTATGTGGGGGGGGGGAGGCTTAAGCGCAAAGGCGGCAAGATCACCATGTCAACTCCATCCTTCACCCCCACCCTCACTCGGCACAACCACCATCACTTATGCCAACAAACGCACGCGAAGTTGTAGTCCCTGAGCAGGGCCTCGGCCGCGTCGCGCGAGAGAGCGCCGTGGAACCAGGCGTGCTGCAGCAGCTGCGACGTGATGGAATCTTTCTCGCCGTTCTTGCCGTCGCCGCTCTTGCTGTCGTCGGCAAAGTCATCAAACTCGACGCCAGTGGCGGCGGAGACGTTTGGCGAATCCGATGACGCAGCGCGCATGCTTTGCCACTGGTAGTGGTGATGGTGGTGATGGTGGTGGTGTCGCAAGGACTTAGCGGTTTCACAATGCGCAAGCAAACTTCAGTGCATGCAAAGAGAGACAAAACGCACACAGAGAGATACAGAAACACAGACAGGCACGCATACACACACACACATACATACAGACAGACAGGCACGCATACACACACACGCATACACACACACAGACGCGCATACACACTCTCTATTCCTGGCCGACTGCACGGCACACCTTTTGCACGAGCTTCTTGTTCACGTGGCGGACATCCTGTCGCGTGGGCGCCTTGAACTGCTTGGCCGTGTCAGGGTTGAACTCGCCCAGCTCAGCAAGCTTGTCAAAGCGCTTGCACGTCTCCTCGTACCCTTCGCGCAGGTTCGCGCCAAACACGGCAAAGCGGATGCCGGCTAGCCAGATGTTGCGGTCGTCGTCGCTGCTGAACGTCATGGTCGGAATATCCTGCGGCTCAAACCGCCGCTTGCGGATGTTGGGCTGTGCACACACACACACACACACACAGCACACACACACACACACACACACACACACACACACACACACACACACACACACACAAGCACGAGGTGTTATGGCGGTACCGAGATGAGCAAGAAGAATGGGGAGGAGGTGTCACTTCGTGCTGGATAAGAACAATACGAGGGCAGATGTGCGATAATTTCATGCACGGAAGCGACGACTTACGCGGAAGGCAATGGCAAAGTGTGTCGGCGCCTTGAGTTTGGTGAGGAACGCCGGCAGCGGCGTGCATACGTAGTGCTCATCAAACTTGACGTACACTTGCAGATCGCGAGAGGCCTGCCAAAGACGAGGACAGGGAGTGACGGAAGGTTGTACCAGAAGGATAGGTGGCGTGCTGACGCACATTGTATCATGATGCACGTGGCGCTCGTGGCATGCATCAGATACAAGGGCAACACTGACAGCAATCTTGTATTGTTCGATAATTGTGTGTGTGTGTGTGTGTGTGTGTGTGTGTGTGTGTGTGTGTGTGTGTGTGTGTGTTCACACCTCTGATTCGCCCTTTGCTGAGAAGTAGACGCCCGACGCGCGGAGCACGCAGAACCGCTTCTTCCACTTCTTGCCCTCCTTGATCTGCGCAAATCCCTTCACGTCCGGCACGCGCGCCGTGTTGCTGAAGTACTCCTGCCAGGGTGCGCCAGTGGCGATGATTGTGGCGGTGGTGGTGGTGAGGGTGAGATGCATTCGAATCGCGAGAACACTCTACAACACACACACACATACACACACGCACACACACACACACACAATCAAGCACAGCATGTGCGTGACTGCGGCACCTGGAAGAGTCGGCGTTTTGCATTTCCGGCGAGCTGTGACGTCTGCGCAGTCGCCTCAATGTCCGCCCGCACAGAGTGGGGGAAGTATTTCTTGGAGAAGAGGGGGAGGAGGGATGGTGGAATGGAAACACCACGTTGAGGTTAGAAGAGCTTGGAAGACGGTGACAAGTAACACTCCAGAAGCAAGTTGGTATGTACATGCATGCACACCCACACACACACACCCACACACACACCCACCCACACACACCCACCCACCCACACACACACACACACACACACACACACACACACACACACAGACACACACACACACACACACACACACACACACACACACACGGGGGTGAGGCGATTGAAGGATTGATGTGGGCAGATGTGTGCGAGTGAGCGAGTGCATGAGCAACATCGTCAACCAAACAATCGTCGCGAGTGCACGGCTCAAGGGAACAGCGCACTAACCTCGGTTCCAAAACTGCAGAGGTCGGCAAGCAGGTCATCAAGATCGGAATCTTGCATGCCTGTCAGCGTCAGCGCGCGCGAGAGCGTGTGAGAGTGAATCAGTGTGTGCGTGTGTGGTTGTGGTTGTGCGTGAGTGCGTTTGGGCGTTTTGCACTGTTAGCACTTGCACTCGCGTCACACACTAACACTACCACCCCCCCCACACACACACACGCACACATGACTTGGTCTCTGCTTACTTGAGAGGACGGCGACGCTGGATGCCATGCCTGTGTCTGCATTGTGTTCATAATCACCATCATCGATGTGCTTGGTGCTTTGGGCTCCGTCGTGCCCCTGCCCTGTCTCCTCCGCCATGTGCGGGCCATCCAGGTCGCCCAGCATGTTTTCGATATCGCCAAGGATGTTGTCCAGCTGATCAATGGTTTCCTCTTTCGTCGACGCAGCCCCCGTGTTCTGTGCCGCGACCGGCTCTGGGTTTGCTTGCTCTTGCACGTCATCTTCTTCAGATTGAGCCCCGTGCTGCACTTGCTGTTCTCCTTCCTGCTGCTGTTCTTCTTCCTGCTGCTCCTCCTGCACATGCTGCTGTTCTTCTTGCTGTTGCTGCTGTTGCGTGGGTGTACCGTTGTTCTCGGCTGCAGGTGGCTGCTCAGCGGACAGGGAGTCCGTGCGAGGTTTTGGTTTCGGCTTTGGTTTTGGTTTTGGCGCGGGCCGAGGTGGGGCCGGTGCAGCCTCTGGGCCGGCCTCTGCTTCGTCTTGCTGCTGCTCGGCGGGTGCTGCTGTCTGCGGCTGTGAAGGTTCTTGGGGCTGTTCCTGCTGTTCCTGCTGTTCCTGCTGTTCCAGCTGCGCCTGCTGCTGTTCGTCTGTAGCACCCGCTGAAGGCAGGTGCTTCAGAATGCGGTTGCGGTGGCCCTGGAGTGTGATGCCCATCTCCGTGAGCTTGTCGCTCGTCAGGGCGCCAGCTTTCTCCTGTGACCGAACAACGTATTTGATGATGTGCCGTGATTGTCAGAACCGAAACGAGTCTTCTCCTTTGCACACAGCAGAATCATTGGGGAGATGCGTGGGAGCGCACACATAGAGACAGAGACAAACAGACAACCTCACGCACAAACATGCACACAGAACGTGGACGTGCACACACAGAGACAGACAAGCACACTCACCGACACAAACACACATACACACAGACAGACACATACAAACACATACACATACATACACAAAAAAACACAAACGCACACACAGCACACATACACACACACACGCACAAACACAAACACACACACACACACACACACACACACACACACAAACACAAACACACACACACACACACGCGCGCGCGCACACAAGCAAATCGCACCAGTGAATCGACGCCATGGTCCGCAAACACTTGGATGTACTTGGTGAGCTTGAGCCCCGTCAACCACTCCTCCACATCCGCCATCGCCTCTTCTGTCTTCTTCACTTCTGTGTTGTTTGTTGTGTTGGTGTGCTGGAAGGCAAAATTGCCTTTGTCTTTCCTGTCCTTGAAGGATTTAGAAACGTCAAAATTGCCTTCACAGCGACAACGACGACAACGACACACAAACAAAACAAGAGGAAAGAGCAAGCAAGCAAACAATCCATTCTTCAACCGCCACAGCACCTCACCCTTCTTGACCTTTGCTCCTTCCCTGGTTTGTTCTGGCATCATCGTGGCTGCCTTGTTCCAGATCCCAGATCCCGCCGCTCCCTTCTTGCCACTGCCCTCCCCCTTCCTTCTGCTCCACAACAAACCACAGTTCGTCTCCGTTGTGTCTTCTTGCGCCTTCAAGAGCAATACAAGGTCTCATGCAGCGAACACGGCGACTGCTCACTGAGGCCACCAAGTTCATCGACACAAGATGGTGAGGGCAGAGCTTCGCTGACGCTGTCTTCCTTTGGAATTGTGTACTGGCACGCACCAGTGGACCTCTCCACGCACGGCTCCAATGCAGTACCAGCAAGCATTGGATCTCTACATGCCCACGCTCACGCACACGTTCATGTATGTTCCTTTACTTGCGCTCATCGCATCATGATCACACACACACACACACACACACATAGGTCGTCCAGTCTTGAGTCTGCACTGGCGCGATCTGCCAAGTACCAGATCAGCCGGCTGAGTCTGGCGCAGCTGCTCACGTTCGGCCAGATGGAGGACCCCCAGCTGCGGATGAACCAGTCGTGCCAGTTTATCCAGAACGAGGGTGTGATCCGCCTGGCGCACATGATCAAGGAGATGCGCACGTTGCCGGACGACTTCTTGGACGAGCAGCACATTCGCCGTGTGTACAACTGGTACCTCGAATCCTTCCGCGATCTCCACGAGGCAGAGCACGTCACCCCGGCCAGCGTACGTTCTCACAGCAGTGTGCCACTCGCAACATCCAGCGGAAGAGGGTTTGCGGAGGAGTGAGCCCACGCGAGCGCGCCTCTGTGAAAGCGCGCCTGAGAGACTCGGGGTCATGATGGTGTGCGTGGTGGTTTTGTGGTGCGCAATGTTGTCACACCCGTGAATGAGAGAGAGAGAGATTGGGTTCAACCCCGTTCTCGCCGCGTCCTCCTCACGCCTGATGCCATCATTGACACGCACACACACATGTGCACGCATGCGTTGCTCTTGCTATGCTGTGCTTGCAGTCTCCTCAGGCCGGATACGTGTTTACGGATCGTGTGCGCTCCATTCTGCATCGCCACAGCTCAACTGTCCTCACCTTTGCCATGGTGTGTGCAGTGCCATGCATACGCTTGCTGCATGTGTTGTGCTGTGTGCTTTGTGTTGTGTCTGGTTTGTCTTGTCCTGTGCCTTGTCTTGTGTACGTTGTGTTGTGTGGTTGTTCCATTGGCTTCCACGTGGTCCCGGTGCATGTTGTGCTCAAACAATCACCCACCCACCGCGTTTGGCAACGGCAGGGCTTCCGCAACCTGAAGAAGCAGCGCAAACTGCGCAACTGCGAGCACTACGTGACGAGCTATCTTGATCGGTTCCTC